CAAAATATCCTCTTAGCTGATACTAAATATAATTGTGAGTTTTAGCATCATGAATTTTAAGTAAACTATCATGGATTTCCGCTTGAGAGTGGTGTTTGTTTGGGGAAGGAAAAAATCAACCCCGTTTTTGAGAAAGCTTATGTCCTCATGGGACTTGGTGTTTTTCAGATCAGTATTTCCCCTTCCACTAAGTGCCCTCCGACTTTAATTTTCAGTACCTGGGATATTCTTCCTAGGCAAGAATGCGGTGTAGATCAGGTATTACGAGAAAGTAAGAGTGTAAGGGCAAGAATTGTGCTCTTGGCTCGTATCAAGTTTAAAACCTCATCAGATTTTATGCTGTTTAAACTTTTTGTTACTCAATAATGGGAATTTCCCATGGTGCTGAGAGAGGTGCTAAGATACTTGAACCTTAGTGCTTAGTGCTATTAAATTAATTTGTTTTAGTTTTCTAAGCACATTTCTAAGTTTTACACTTACTGCCTTCATCTTGACCAGCCAAGTCATTTGCACAGCTAGTAACATTATTCGTGGTCTCCCGATGCAGCTTGTGTTGGTGTGCATATGCACACACAAACTTATTTAAAAGAGTTAATAACTGAAAGTTTGTAATTGTGGAATGGTGATACTGGTGAACAAATGGCAAAAGGACCTGTGAACATCTGTATCTTTGGCCTTCACTTTCCAAAGCTATCTGAAACAGATCTTTATTATTTTTTCCCTAGGAATATTCAGTGCTTCTCATCACATAAGCAACTGATTTAGAGGGCCTACTGAATTCTTTATTCCTGGAATACATATCATCACAAATTTAATTGATAATGTGAAAAGAAGGTACCTGAAATTTGGCAATTGGAAATCAAAACAAAGTATAAAACTCTCTTTTTGGTGATAAAGAGCAGCCATTTCTTTAATGTTTGTGTCCAATTTACAATTGCCAGTGTGTCTGCCTGTAATCCAGTGTACCTGCACAATAAAAGCCGATTGCCACCAAATCCCCATTGCTTTACCCTCCCACCTTTTACTTGTGTATTCACTGATGAGAAAAGCGAAGAAAAAAAGATGTGACTGTTGGTCTGTGCTCTAGTAGCAATTGCACTGTGTGAACACTGTCTGCCCACTGGGGGAAGTTCCTGTCTGCTGCTGCCACAATATATTCATGCTGCTTGTGAAGTACAGGGAGTTGTTTCGACACTGGCACCCATTGTAATGTACAAACTGTTGTTAATGGATGTATATGTAACAGATTTTTGTATTTTATATGCAAAGTCTTCACAGAATCCTCTGCAATATGTACTGAGCTAGCAAAGCATGTGATAGTCTTGAAAGAAAATCTTTTCCAATGCCCAAGGAGGTATTAAGTGGTAAATAAAAGCTGCATGATCAGTTCTTTGAAGTGGTCCATTAATTTTTACTGGTTCTCTTGGAAAAGAGTTCAACTTCCAAGACATTGCTTAATTATTCTTTAAAGACCAAAAAAGGCCCTACTGCCTGCCATATTCTGAGCTACTTCTAACCAAGCAGAAATTGTTGGCTTAGGTGTCTGGGAATTTCAAGGCAAAATAGAAACAGGCAAGACACCTGAATAATTGCTGTCAAATACCTGGAGAAATGCAATCATTGAAAGATTGGATCTTTTGATAAAAGTAATCCCTGATGCAGTTCTGCTTTTGATCAAGATTAACATACCTGACTATATACATAAAATATCAGATCTGGTTTCATCCAGTATTGTAAACACACCAAAATTTTAGGCTGTGGAAGATAGGCTTGAAGGTGAGAGATAACTTGCTCTTTCTCTCATAGATAACAAGCTTTAGATGCTCCCTTTTCATTATGCTTTTCTTTCTTTTTCCAGTCAAGGTAGTTCCAGATGAATTGATTAGAATAACAACTGGGTTTTTTTTTTTAAGTGGACCGTTCACAACTAGAGATATGAAAATCACTAAAGGAAAAATCTCATTGTTAAAGGCAAACATACAGCGAAGGTAGTAAAGCAACACTTTGTAAAGCTAGTAGGAAGGTTAAAAGAAGTAGTAACATCTAAATCCACAGTAAGTAGTTAAGGGATACACAAAGCAAAATGTAAAATATGTAAGTAGTAAATGTGGAACAGGTAAAAATGCAGAGTTGTTAAAATGCATTCAAACTTAAGGGATCTGCAGTTTAATCATATATTTGTATAGAGTGCTATATATAAACATAATAACCACAAACCAAAAAGTATATAATAGACACCCATACAGAAAAAAGAAATCCAAACAGTACTAAAGATAGTCATCAAATCACAAGGAAACAGAGCTAAAGAAAAAGGAGACAAGAGCGAGCTACAAAACAACAAAATACCAGTAAGTACATACCCATCAATAATTACTTTAAATGGACTAAATGCTCCAGTCAGAAGACAGTAAAAGTGGCTGGATACAAAAACAAGACTTGTAAGTGAATAGCTGAAATATTCATAAGAGCTCAAAATGAAGACAATCCAAATGTCTTATCAACTGAATAAACCACTGTGATTTATGCAGTGGAATACTCAGTACTGATGAATATAAACATAAAGCACTATGCTAAGTGATGAGGCTGTTTATTATATAATTCTATTGATATGAAATTCCAGAAAAGGCAAAACTAGTGACAGAAATCAGATCAATAGTTTGGAGGCATAGAATCAGAGGAGATTGCAAATGGGCACAAAATAAGGTCTTAGGTGTTGGGAGTGGTTGATATGGTCATAAACCAAATTGTGTTTCTAATTTATTTAAAACAGCTCTCCTTGTCCACAAAATTAGATTTAACCCACTTAATTTGACATAAAAACCATTTATGATGTCATTATTGCTTAATTTTAACAACTTAAAAATTTATGCTTCTACCTGACTCTTGTCAGTCGAAACAACTTTCAGAGGCAAGAGTGTGCTAAATTAGAAGTTCTGTGTTTAGAAAATAAGGCTTCTTGAGACAATGTTCACCATCAATTCCATTGTGTGCTTGGAATCTGGGGAGAAGCCTCCATGGGCACTTTGTACATTTGTGTTCACAGAATTCCATCTTGAAAGTATGCAATCTGGGTGCTTTTAGGTGTTCTTTTTTATATGTAACTCCCAATATAATACTTTAAATCCCTTGACAAAATAGCAATCTGTTTAAATCCCTGGAGAATACTGATTCACAAAATGTATCCTATCTTTTAATTAGTTTTACCAAAGGTTTTAATTTTGAGATCAGCCCACCAGCTCTGCCCCCAGCTTGCATAAATTCCTGTGCAAAGGAAAAAAGTCTCTAATTCAAAATCCTTATCAAGTTCGTACTACACAGTCTCACAAATATTACCCTTAAATACTCTGAATTCCTGACCTAGACTCCATGGGATATAAGAAAATGACTATTGTTTTAAGGCACTAAGTTTTGGTTACTTTGTCATGAAACAATAGGAAACTGATACTTCTGATAGTAAATTTTCCTACTATGTTGGAAAGCCACTTAAAATCTACTAAAGGTGATGTAAGCATGTTATTTCCCATATCAGTTTTCACTCCTAATTATATATGCAGATGCAAAAGATACACATGCAGGTTTGTAGCAACATTGGTTGAAGTAGCCAAAAAGCCAATCCAAATGTCTAGTGTCTAAAAACAGAATAGTGGATAAAGTATGTTATGATCATAAAATAGACTATGATATAGCAGTAAAAAATGAACAGACAGCAGCCACACTCATCAACATGGATCTTGCAAGCCTACTATGGAGGGAAGGAAGAAAAATGTGTACTGCTTAATGGCATAAAATCAGCAGGTGATGTTCCATGAGTACTTGAGAAGAATGTGCATGTGCATTTGTATATTTTGTTGGATGGTGTGTTCTATAGATGGTGTTAAGTCTAGTTGATTTATAGTGTTGTCAGTCTCCTATATTTTTATTGATATGCTACCTAGTTTCTTTTTTTATTTTTAATTTTATATTGGAGTATAGCCAATTAACAATGTGGACAGTTTCAAGGTGGACAGAAAAGGGATTCAGCCATACCAACCCACTCCAGTACCCTTGCCTGGAAAATCCCATGGACAGAGAAGCCTGGTAGGCTACCATTCACGGGGTCGCAAAGAATCGACACGACTGGGCAACTTCACTTTCTTTCACTTGCACTATTATCTAGTTTGTTTTTTCAGATTTCAGTGTTAAATTCTTCAACTATTACTGTTAATTGTCTAGTTCTCCCTCTGTCAGTTTCTAAGTGTTTCGGGGCTCTTCTTTTCATAAGTGTATATATAATTGGTATGTTATGGCAACAAAGGATGAGATAGAGTGCATCACCATTACAGGGGACGTGAATTTTAACAAACTCTGGAAGATAGCGAAGGACAGGGAAGTCTGGTGTGCTGCAGCCCATAGGGTCCAAAGAGTCAAACATGACTCCGCGATTGAATCAGAGCATCAACAAGCTGTTATGTCTTCTTGATGGATTTACCTTTCTATCATTATTAAAAATGGGCCATATTTTCCTGTTTCTTTAAATGTCTCTTTTTGTTGTTGTTGAAAACTGGACATTAAAACATTATATGGCAAATCTGGAAATCGGATTCTCCTCCCATTGCACAGTTTGTTGCCAGTTGCTCTGTTCTATTTTAGTTACTTCCTGAACTAATTCTGTAAAGTCTCAGTTCTTTATTGGACTTGATCGCCTAAGTCTCTGTTCAGTTAGCCTGGTGGTCAGCTAATGATTGGACAGGGATTTCCTTAAATGCCTTGCAAACCACAAGTTCCCCATTCTGGCAACTCCTGTTCCTCCATTAGCCACAGTTCCATTTCCAAAGACTGTTGTGTTTATATGACTTTAACTGAATTTTTTAGAATAAAAGAGGGAGTAGAGAATAGCTAAGTCCTGCCAACAGCCTAAAATTCAATATAAGGTATCACTGTTTTTATAGATCCTTAGGCTTCCCTCTCAGACCTTCAGGGCTCTGTCCATCTTCCCCGCTTTATTGAGCAGCTTCACCACCTCATCGTGGCTGATGAACACGAGGGCCACGTCCAGGTAGGCTGGGGCGAGGGGTGGTGCCATTGTAGATTGCCTTGAGCTCCTCACCCCTCACGACCTGCGAGCAGCTGTCCACGTGTTCATTCACGTGTTCGTCCACGTGTTCAGTGTTGCTGCGCCTCCAGGCCCTGTACTGGGGTTTGATCTCTTGCAGAGGTGTGTTCTCGAAGCCCCTGGCTGCTCTCGCGATAGCTCTAAAACCCGGTGGTCAGCGGTTTCAGGGGCTAGCTGGAGTTCGGCTCTGGGTACCTGTTGGTCGTGCAGTGAGCTACTGACCAAGAAGCGGATGGTCTGGTGCAATGCGGCGGCTAGAAGCCCTGGTGAGTCCTCTTTCGTCCTTGCTTCCGAACAATCTCCCTGACTGTGTGGAGGAATCCTTTGTCCCATGGGTTTAGGGACAGTCTGGTCGCGGATAGACTTCACCTGGACGGTCTCCATGGGCGCACACCCACCATGGCGTCGGCCTTGTGGGCGTCCCGGCCTCCTAGCGGCCCGCCTGCTGTCCTGCGGTCAGCAGGACGTCTCATGTGTGGGTGCTGAGGGACGCAACCATCTTCGGTGCTGAGGGATGCAACCGTCTTGGCTCTGACGGCCGCCTGGAGCTGTAGAGCGGGGAGGAGGCCTCGGTGCAGCGTGGAGCACCTGGGCTGCGGACTTCCTGACATGTTGAGGACCAGGCCATGCAAGTGGGCATAGGTCTGCTCCTGCATCATCACGCACCCTGTGGGCAAGGTGATGCAAACTGCCATGTGAGCCCTAGGCCACCTGCGGAGACCTGGCCTTGATAGTTTTGAACAGTATCGGGCTCGTTATTTTGTGAAATATCCCTCAGTTTAATTGACTAGTTTTTCCCCTTATGATTAGATTCAGGTTATGTACTTTGGAGAGGAATACCCCAGAAGTGCCACTGTGTCCTCAGTGGAGGCACGTGGATATCAGTTCACTTCAGTCGCTCAGTCGTGTCTGACTCTTTGCGATCCCATGGACGGCAGCAAGCCCAGCCTCCTTGTCCATCACCAACTCCTGGAGTTTACTCAAACTCATGTCCATTGAGTTGGTGATGCCATCCAACCATCTCATCCTCTGTCGTCCCATTCTCCTCCCGCCTTCAATCTTTCCCTGCATCAGGGTCTTTTCAAATGTGTCAGTTCTTCGCATCAGGTGGCCAAAGTATTGGAGTTTCAGTTTCAGCATCAGTCCTTCCAATGAATATTCAGGACTGATTACCTTTAGGATGGACTGGTTGGATCTCCTTGCAGTCCAAGGGAGTCTCAAGAGTCTTCTCCAACACCACAGTTCAAAAACATCAATTTTTGGCACTCAGCTTTCTTTATAGTGCAACTTTCACATTCATACATGACTACTGGAAAAACTATAGCTTTGACTAGATGGACCTTTGTTGGCAAAGTAATGTCTCTGCTTTTTAATATGCTGTCTGGGTTGGTCATAACTTTTCTTCTAAGGAGCAAGTGTCTTTTAATTTCATGGCTGCAGTCACCATCTGCAGTGATTTTGGAGCCCAAGAAGATAAAGTCTGTCACTGTTTCCACTGTTTCTACCATGTTCTCATCTATTTGCCATGAAGTGATGGGACTGGATGCCATGATCTTAGTTTTCTGAATGTTGAGCTTTAAGTCAACTTTTTCACTCTCCTCTTTCACTTTCATCAAGAGACATTTTAGTTCTTCACTTGCTGCCATAAGGGTGGTGTCATCTGCATATCTGAGGTTATTGATATTTCTCCCGGCAATCTTGATTCCAGCTTGTGCTTCCTCCAGCCCAGCGTTTCTCATGATGTACTCTGCACATAAGTTAAATAAGCAGAGTGACAATATACAGCCTTGACGTACTCTGTTTCCTATTTGGAACGAGACTGTTGTTCCATGTCCAGTTCTAACTGTTGCTTCCTGACCTGCATACAGATTTCTCAAGGTCACGTGGATATATGTCCCATTATTGGTGATAGTAAGGTATGTGCTATAAAGCTATTACTATCTTGTTTTTGAAATTAGTTAGTTTGCTGTGAGATACTTTGATATCATGTAAATATCCTGTCTCTTATCCAGCTTTTGCTTGTGCAACTATGATATTTACATTTACCTGCAGTAACACTTTACCTGTGATAATCTATTGCTGTAACATCCCAATCCTTGATTGATGATTTTGTAACTACATCATTCTTCCATGTTTATAGTTTAGCATTCTGCTATAAGGAAGACACTGCCTTCTTCCCTTCCTTCCAAAAGAATTCATGCACTTACCCCCTTCTATGGATTATAATCCATTTTTACCATTATTTACTTTGATGCTCAAAATAATCTGTCCCAGACCTGGCCAATGGGAGCCTCATCAAGTGGGCTTCCAAAGCCCTTTGAAATATCCCAGTTGTTCTTTGCATACTTTCTTACTGTTCTAGTGCAGTAAATTACTGCAAGCTGATCTTGTCCTTTACCTGCTCTAGCCTTGACATCAGCCATTTCTCTAAGGAGCTATTTTTCCTTTTAACTTAATTAAGAAATGCCTTTAGAAACAGAGGTGTGGGTGGGGGGGTGTGTCTTTTGTTTTAAGGCCCTCTCAATATATGTAATTGAATAATTTTTTTTTTTTTTAAGTCGCTGAGCTGAGTTGTGTTTGACTCTTTGTGATCCCATGGACTATACAGTCTATGGAATTCTCTAGGTCAGAGTACCGGGTTGGGTAGCCTTTCCCTTCTCCAGGGGATCTTCCCAATCCAGGGATCGAACCCAGGTCAGATCTCTGGCATTGCAGATGGATTCAGGGAAGCTAGAAGTTCTGATCATTTGTTGGGACAAGTGGCTTAATGAGTACACGTTCTTCCTTTTTTCTCTGAAAACTAGGGAGCAGTTTCAAAAATGAAAAAAGATACATGTAGTTTCACAAGTAAAAAAAATACAGGTTTTAGAATTTTAGGGCTCTCTTTTCTCTATACACTGTGAAGTACTCTAACTGTAATCTTTCAAGAAAAAACTCTTCATTGGCTGGGTTGGACAGAGAGGAGAAAGAAAATTCTATGAAAAATTCTATGAAAATTTTATGAGCTCTTTGAAATTATTTTGGGAGAACTATGGTTCACTCTCTGTCTCAATGTTTAAAAGTTTGATATAATTGGATCTTTGGGACTTTATCCCCGAAGGATCTAAAGTTTCAAACCTCTGCATGAAGTTATAGCTGCTGAACTTTAAATTGTTCAGGGACAACAGGTATTCCCCCAAAACAACAGAGCATTTAAATTTGCATAGTATTTCAATTGTTATACCTTGGCATTTTTAGTTACTGAGGTATCAGACAATACTTCTGAAAGAAATGATTTGCATTGTTGATTTTTAAGGAATATGTTTAACATTTTAAACATAGGTGCATTCATTCTTTCTTGCACATAGGTAAGTTTATGATGTATATCATAAACAATATTTTAATTGGCATTGGTGATAGGGAACTCAATTTTTCTTGGCTACTATTTTTATTTTTTAATTTTTATTTATTTATTTTTTTTGCTACTATTTTTAAACAATAGAAGATATCAAGTCCCAGGCAAGTGAGCTGATTTTTCATTCTTGGAAAAACTGTTTTCATTGCTAGTCTAAAAAACGGCACAAAAACCTGTTTCGTTGAAATCATCTCCTGCAGTAATATAATAAAAATTTTGTATGAAATTTGTTAAATATAAAATCTGGTAGAGAATTTTCTAAGAAGTTAACTCTTAACTAACAAATAAATAAGAACTAACTACTAGGATGTAGGGAAAATGAAGCTCTTAGGAAGAAAAGCAGAAACTCTGCATGCTCAGTTACCACAGAGGGCAGTAGTACTGACAAGTATTCCCTAAAATACTCAGAGTATTTAGGATTCCTGATAATATTTGGACCTCAGTGTAAGCTGTTGGAGGTCTGATAAACAGGAAAAAAAAATGACAGGTTTGATAATAGACTGGATATGCGATACAGTGAGGAAGAGGTCAAAAATAATAATGTAATATAATGAAAGGTATTTGACAAATATCATGTCCCTGTTATACAGCTATGATATAAGGCATTGCCCACGAGATTATTATTTTCATCATCACCCTTTCGCCAGGTTTTTAAATATGAAGAACTGGAAGACAAATGATAATATTGACTGAAATTAACAAATTAGTGATGAGAAAGTGAAGAGTGAATTGTTGCAAGATAAACCATATAACAGGAATTTACCTGTGAAAGGAAGAGCAAAAATAGGATGTAATTTGCATATGTAGCATGACAATGAAGGGAATTTTTAAGAACAGTATATTTGAAAATAGAAAGGAAAGAACTAGTGGGGAAAGGAGAAAGATTGATGGTGATAAAGAGCAATATCAGTGCATAAGCAAGGTAAGTTTAAAAAAGTTTTTTTGGTTAATAATGTGAAATGTAAAAACAAATAAATCCTTAAGTGTCTTGTAGATAATTAGATGATCTATAATCTTTTTTTGTTATATTCACTCATCTGTTTTATCTTTTAGATTCCACTATTAGTGATATTATGCAGTATTTGTCTTTGACTGATTTTACCAAGCATAATATCCTCCAAGTTTATCCATCTTGTTGCAAAGAGATTTTAAGATAAGTTTGAAAGGGAGTTTCATTTCTACATTTCCTGAATCTTCATGAGTTTTAGTGTATAACAGGAGTATTGCCTGGGTATAAGTTTTAGAACTGTTTACATACTCACAAAGATATGGGTCCCTATAATGAATAAAACTTTATAGTGGATGTAACAGTTTTTAAATGAGGTGGGTTATTTTGCATGACTTGTAAACTGGCTCTTACATAGAATCAGAATGGGTGTCTACAGTGCTACAAACAATGTCGCCATTTTTGAAACAGGTGTATGGACCTCCAGGCTGTTAGCTGGAAGATCATTTAGACCCAGAACTTCATAGGTGTTAGTTTAAAATTCATTTACTTGTTCCTTCCAAGAATTCTCCTTTTCTTCCAGTGAAGATCATTACTGGTTTTCATTTTTACAAATGTGCTTTCTTTTCCTCATTTATTTGACTTACTTTTCTAATTAGTGCTCAATAATATATTCATTGTTTTATATTTTTGATTACTGAGTACTTTCAACTGTTTACTGAAAGCCTGCTGTGTGCCAAGCAAAGGATTGCAAGCTGAGACTCGCATATTAAATTTGTTTATTCTTGTTTTCAAATCCACTTTTCTCTAAATTTTGTTTTGAAAGAATCAACTTTTTATGTAGCTCTAACCTGTTTCCCCTCCTCTTTGATCAATAGATACATTGTCCTGTGACTTCTTGTGGTAAAATTGTGTTTTTAATAGTGGAAATAAGTTCAAAAGTGTTTTCCTAAATCAATGAACATTATACTTTATCCATCCATTTTTTTCCTCAGATAAAGTGAATAGAATCATATTAGAATAACTACAGGTAAAAAGAAGCAAATGCAAGGCGAAAATCTCACCAGTTGGAGTTTCTTTTTCCTGGAAGGTTTTTCTAGATACCCAAAGTTAGAGGTTGTTCTCTTTGTCTTCAGCCTTTTAATGTATCTGATAACCCTCTTGGGCAACAGCACTCTTATTTTAATCACTGTCGTAGACTCACGTCTTCAGACGCCCATGTACTTGTTCCTTGGAAACCTCTCTTTCATGGATATTTGTTACACATCTGCTTCGATTCCTACTTTGCTGGTGGACTTGCGGTCATCCCAGAAAACCATCATCCTTTCTGGGTGTGCTGTACAGTGTGTGCTCCT